GAATAAACCACCTTCAAAAAGATTTAATTCTTGCTTTTCAGTATTTATATGCTTTGGATATTCCTAGTCGAAATTTCATGTCACCATTGGGTGAGCCAAATGCGGTGTGTATGAAGATGTGCCGTTACTCCACGGTTTTTCTTCGGTACCGTCTTTTGTAGCTGGTAGCCTATGTGACTCCTGGGGCGGTAGTAAACTCCCTGTATGCTACGACATCAAGGTCGCAATATGTGACGAGCGTGGCTCGCGCCAGATCCAGCTATCCCGCACTGTCCCGTATCTCTCAATACGCGAGCCTGACGCGGTGCGAACACCTCGCAACATCGGCGCGTTGTTAGAGGAAATTAGAGGTTCGCGATATTGTGACATCGCAAGAGGCGCGAGGTGAGATAGAGCACGAAATGGAGAGAGTTAGACCTGTTGCGAGTTAATAAGGCTCGTTCGTAACTAGCTCATGCCATGTTTGATCACAAACATGGTTCGTTCTTGTTGCGACAAAGTTAGGGAGATTACTACTACCCCTGGAGGATTGTCTAACATAGCAGGATATGATTTTAGAGCTTTTCCTCCGGCACCAGGGAGAAACAACAAAATACTTTGTGATAGTGTAGCTACCGCACAAAAAGGTAGGGTCACATTATGTTTTTGCATGAAAAAAACCATACCTAAGACCTTATTTTAGCCGAACTTGATGTTGAACTATTCATGTATCCTTTACCATATTATGTGATGAATGCTAGTCGTCAAATCAACTCTCTTCGTGACACTTTAGCAGCTTGTCATATGACTGCTAATCGTGTTTGGCTTAAGGTACGTGTTTTGTCTAGGAGAATATAGAATAAGGTTTAGGTTTCCAACTCTATTTTTACGCTACATCCCTTTTATTTCAAAAATAGGATAATTATAGTAGGAATGGTATTCACAGCACTTCAGGTCAGCAATCCCGCATTGTGGCGCAATGATTCACAGCGAAGCATCTCATTCATCAACGAAATTATAACCTATGCGAAGGTAAAAGTGACAAAGACAGTTTGTTCTTTATGGAAAAAGACGCGACATGGCCGCCAGCCTTTCGCGCAACTCACTTCTTCTGTTTGAATGCCTT